ATAGACTTACCCGCTCGGGGTGACAGATTAACCCACTCGGGGCGACAGACTTACCCGCAAAGGATGACAGACCTACCCGCTCGGAATGATAGACTTACCGCTCGGAGCGTCGGACCTACCCGCAAAGGATGACAGACTTACCCGCTCGGAGCGACGGACTTACCCGCAAAGGATGACGGCAAAGCACTCTGCGATGGCGGGGGCCAGCCTCTCCAGGGTGGAAGGTCCGTCCGAGTCGGGCGCCAGGCCGGGGTCCAGGTCACCGTCCGTGTCATTGCCGGCGGCGCGTCCCTCGCTCGCCCCCTCCTCCGACTGCAAGGCGAACTCGGTCTCATGTGCGGCATGACGACCGCTTCCGGTTGTCCCAGTCACTGACGTATTTGTACGGTGCAAAAGGTAACCATAACGAAACATCGAGAGAACAATGCCTGGAAATCTCTCCGAGCTATCCGCCATCTGAGATGAAACTCGGACTGTCTGAATGCCGCGAGATCACGCTATGTGCAGGGCGGCAATGGCGGCACATTTCACGGCCTCTGCTGCCGCTCAACCTGAAAATGGGGCACCGGACATGCGATTGTTCCAGTGTCGGGAAGGTTCGGGCTGCGGTGGAGAGCAGAGTGGTTAGCGAAGTGCTGCGACTCTGCCCCGCCCATGGCGCGCGTGTGGTGAGCGTGTTATCTCGCGGCTGCAGACAGAATTTGAAGTTTGTGAGAACGTAAGCGGGGGGCATAAATCGATTTGAATGGGCCCTGCGCCTCGATCAGATGACGGTGAAAGATTATCCCCGCAGAGTTACGGGGATAATTGGATCCTGGCAACAAAAAAGCCTACGGTTAATCAGACACGCAATCCCGTCGTCACCAATAATATGTTCATATTTTGGTGAACTGAGCCCCCAAACTATCCCAGATAGGTACAAATCTGCCGCACCTGTCAGTGGATCATTGCAACACATTTGAAGTTGAACTCCCGATGCTCGGTCACATCGCAGACCTATGAAATCACCCGTCGAGGCTGTACAGTTATGTCTGTTTCTTTATGCAAAAGACAATCCGTGTGGTCTTTTCCTGTTGTGGATTATTTTCGTGCATTTCACTGATTAAATTAAAGTAAGTCTTGTCAGCGGGGTCTTGACTTACTTTGTTAAGCTGCTTCTGGGGCGAACGGCAGGGTTTTGGCATTTCATGTTCACCGTAGTGGATCACCTGGAGGGAAAAAGCACGTTTACTCAAGGCGTTTGTCAGGCGAGTTGCTCGAAAGTTTAAGAGCCAGGACGTTCGCCGATGCAGAACAAGACAAACAAGGGGGGCGATAAAGCACAGAGCGATTTAACGCTACTGGACACCGCCACCAAACAAAACACTTGAACAAGCTGGAGTGACGACATAATAGACACGGTTACAGACCTTGCGTGGGCTAGTCGGAACTGCCGAGACGTGTGTGAGTCGTTATGAAGTAATGTGGTTTTGCTATTAAAGGGAAACGTACCAAACGGCTCTCCGAATCAAGGGACTATGTATTCTTTAATCAGATATGGCTGGCGAAGTAACATGACGACATTTGACGATCTCTGGGATGGACTGCTTAAATCCTGACTTTTCAGAGTCATGTCAGCACCAAAATAGACAGCAACATGTTATGCTTATCATCTTTGCTAAACTGGTGTCAAAAGATGGTTCCTTATTGGAAAGTCAGGGATATCTCACGTTGCTGCTTGCATAGAATATCTGTTCAGATTATTTACATAACGTTTGTGATACCCACAGCTTGCGGAGATGGCAATACAAATGTGAATAGCGTATATGAACTTAATCAGACTAACAAGTCAGGCCGTGATATTTGACCTTTGACCTCAGACCACATCGCATCGCAGACCACTGCTCGTTAGCACTGCGACAACGCAACCAGTGGACGGGGACATGCTACTATCGTCTTCTGCGGTGGCGGCCCACTCACCTGCGTCGCCAGACGCCGTCACCGGGACCGCCGGCTGTGATCTGCAGCAGTCTACTAGCGCCGATGGTCCGTGCCGGAGCATGCTCCCAGGATCTGCACCTGCCCGCCCGCGCCGGAGATGCTCAGCCCGCGTGCGCCCCCGCGCGGAGCATGCTCCCAGACCCCGCGCCTGCCCGCCCCGCACCGGAGCATGCTCCCAGACCCCGCGCCTGCCCGCCCCGCGCCGAAGCATGCTCCCAGAACCCGCGCTCACCTGCCTCGCGCCGGAGCATGCTCCCATGGTCCGCGCTCACCTGCCCCGCGCCGGAGCATGCTCCCATGGTCCGCGCTCGCCCGCCCCGCGCCGGAGCATGCTCCCAGAGCCCGCGCCTGCCCGCCCCGCGCCGGAGCATGCCCCCAGAGCCCGCGCCTGCCCGCCCCGCGCCGGAGCATGCTCCCAGAGCCCGCGCCTGCCCGCCCCGCGCCGAAGCATGCTCCCAGAGCCCGCGCTCACCCGCCCCGCGTCGGAGCATGCTCCGGGGTCTGCGCTGGCCCGCCCCGCGCCGGAGCATGCTCCCGGGGTCTGCGCTCGCCCGCCCCGCCGCCGGAGCATTGCTCCCGGGGTCTGCGCTCGCCCGCCCCGCAACGGAGCCATGCTCTCCGGCCCGCGTCCACCAGCTCGCTGCTCACACTCACCTCCTCTGTGCAATGAGTAGCCGCCGGCTGAGCTCGAGCCGGGAGCCGTACCAGACCGGCTGTGCAGGGTAGCCGGCCACACAGCAGGCCGCCGAGCGCCGTCACCACCAGCAGGAAGCCCGGGATCTGCATGCTGTAACGATGACGCGAACACCGCTCAGATGCGCCCGACATGGTCTGTGCAGATGCGGCAGCGAGGCTTCCACCTGACGCGAATACCGCTCAGATGCGCCCAACGTGGTCTGTGCGGACGCGGCAGCGAGGCTTCCACCTGGCGCGAACACCGCTCAGATGCGCCCAACGTGGTCTGTGCGGACGCGACAGCGAGGCTTCCACCTGACGCGAAGACCGTTCAGATGCGCCCAACGTGGTCTGTGCAGACACGGCAGCGAGGCTCCTCCCTGACGCTCGTGTCATCAGTCCCTGTCATTGTCTCCCTGCGCTGTTGTGGGTGCACGGATAGGATACAGGACAGGTGAGCGAAAATCGGCATTTCGTACTCAAGGAGTGGTGTCGTAGCAGCGACATAGACTGACCCATGAATGTAGAGGTGGCGTTATTAATTATAATTACTGCCGTGGAATGAAGTGGCAACGCCCCCAAAGCTCAAAATAATCAATAGCATACATATTTTAGAAGCCTCATCGACGCAGGCAGTGAAACGCACGACTTTGCTTTATCTCTGTCAGATTTGACTTACTTTATCAGACATACTTTATCAGATTTGCCTATTTGATGAACTGAACTATTTGTTATACCCAATAGGGCATTGGAATCAGGAGCAGAGTTTTGCACTGGTGGCATGATCATAGTAGGAAAATTACGGGTACGGTTGAGAAGCCAATGCAGACAGCGTTACGTGACCGTCACCCCTCGGAAGTCAAAACCGGAGCGGGAACATCCGCCCTAAGTTCACCCGGAGCACCTGCACATCAGCCGCGCCGGACATATTCTCTCACGGGTTACGACAGGGTGATTTAGGAGTCGCGCGACTGCTTCCGTCTCTGATTTATCGCTGGTCCTGGAGGCGGAACGTGTAACAATGCGAGAATCCCACGCCACGGACTGGCCCAGCGACAACGAAAAAAGCTTCTGGACCAGTAACGCAGTGCATGCATCCAAGCCCGTCGGTCCGTGCAACCGTTCATTTTGTTCCCTATTCTGACAAACCCCTACGTTCCAAATTTTTGAAATGATGCTTCCGAGTTTTAGTCAAAGTGGGCCACAAATCTCTACCATATTGCGTGACTGGCTTACACGGCGGTCCGTATCACCTAGCTGCCCACCGCGCACAAGAGCAGCGTGAACACCGTGGGCAAGATGAGAACCGTCCCAAACTTTCGTCGTTCATTGACAGAATGACAGCCGGGCGTGTTTCCTTTTCCGGCCCCATGCGGCCTCCGTTTGAACACCGAGCACTGCACCGGACACGGTAACAGCCACGCTGATGGGGGGCGGGTCGGCCCGCCCAAACTACGTACGTCGGAACAGACAAAAACCTCCGCCGGCGTGCCGTGGTGCGAAAGCGTAGCGGTCACCTTCTGCCGGCGTCGCGTGACTGGCGGCCTTCGGCGGCGGCTCTCCGCCCGGTGCCCCCGGGCCAGCGCCGACGAGCCGGTGTGATGACCCACGAGGTTAGACGTGCCTTCGTGGAGCCGGCTTTACGACCCTCACGGGCACCGTCGGTTACGTCATCGACAACTCTGCCCCTATCGTCAGTGAGTGGGCGGGATCTGTCGTTGCTGGTGGTGATCCTCGCGACGCCGCTGTGAAGGAATTCCCAGCGGCCGAGCATTCCCTCGCCCAATGAGAAGGCTCCTTCACAGTGCGTTCGGTCTGTGCGAGCTAAATGTTCGATGTAATGACTCAGGATCTAAAAGAAGCTCGCAACGGGGTGTTGCATTTCAGCCACAGTCAATTTCTGGCTGGTGATTGGTTCCAGCGCTGGTTTCTCAATCTATCAAGCAGCAGGGATGTTTTTAACGGTCCGGTTTCGCTCAGTTGTAACGCGACCCTAAAAGTCGCGTTTCCGAGTTGGTATGGAGATCGGTGAAGCATCTTAGGCCCACTGAGAATTGTCAGTGAGATCAACACTCTCAGATAGGGTCCCGCCGTCTTGGACGCAATGAAGGAAATCTCTATGGGTCTAAAATGGTGTAAAATCAGAAATCCCCAGGAGAGGGTTTAAAGGGTTCAAATCCATTTGTGTCGGTTGAGGTACGTCCTGACGACAGCCTGCCGCTGAAAAGTTCTCACAAAACGGGTACGTCCAAGTTCATAACATCGGCATGCAGCTCGGCGCTTATTAATTGCTTCTAATGACAAAACGTGGCTTGACGCATCATTAATCAAGCCTCTGGTCACAGCTACGAAGGTAATGAATATGTCAATCAGCGAGCAATGGGCCACCTGCCCAGCCAAATCTGACTTGGCATCGTTCATGATCTTGACATATCTGATAAGTAACGTCATCACACCGATGTCTGGCTGATCAGGCATGCTCGATTTTCTATACTGTTTGCGTTGAATTGGACTGCCAAATGTACTGTCCACATCACCTAAGCTAGGAGCATGCGCTACAGTAAGATAACAGCACGGCCAATATGGAACTGTCACGGCACACACGCGTCCGCGCCGTGGCGTTGATGGTGTACCTGCAGGCTCCATGCAGCCAGAGCGTTCGCTATAAAGCTGCAATGTTTTTAAAAGGGCTTATGAGATTCGAACCGGCCGGAGCGTTCCTCCGTCGTGACGCATGGGGTGTGCCGACGGCTGTAATCGCAGGCCAAGGCAAACGTCCGCCGTCTCCGAGCCGTGCCGCTCCAGCATCGGACCGCGCCGCCACACCGGCGGCACGACGCGGTCACAGGCGCTGGCCGCCATCGACAGCGGTTCATGCAGGAGCCGGTCGTCAGCTTTATGCGTTAATATCGGGTGTTCTTTTCTAGGGAGGGCTGTTTTACCAATTGCGTTCCTTTCCGGGTATGACTGACGCCAGGAGCTAGACTAATTATCGCATGTTCTACAAAGCATGCGATGCTTCTTCTGTTTGTTCTGCAACACCACTTGCGAGCTAATTGTGGCAACAATACATCAGTACCCTCGGTCCCATGTTAAGCACTTCAGTGACATTGAAGCGTCTGGAGTGAAAGCGTCTCAGTCACGGTAAAAATTCGCGGGATTATAACGCCCCAGCGAGGAGACAGAGCATAGCACGGTGTTCACCGCACTGTCGGTCCCGTCACCCGCGACCGGGCACTTAACCGAGCACTTCTCCATGTGTATTGTATCCATGCCGAGTGAGGCAGCGTCACCGTCGAACAGACAGGTTCTCGCCTCCGCACTGGCTGGAGTTAAGGTCCGCTCTGACCCCATCGAGATCCGACCACGGACCGTTGAGCTGTGTGTCACGAGGACGTTTGCCAAGCTGTGGTGAATGAATTAGAGATCGCTGTTGGTGCCATTGATCCCAGAAATGCCGCCTTAAGTTGGCTGACTTGGAAAGGAAGATTGCAGGCTAATGGAACTCGTAAGACAATAAAGAAACCGCACCGGAGCTATGAGCTGCATCTCATTGCAAATTAAATAGACAGTTTGCGGGAAGATAGACGACAATGACCCAGGTCACTTGGAGAACACCGGCGAGAAGGATGTACTGCCAACCATTGTCACTACCACGGGCGTAGTCTTGCAAAATAATTTGGGGAGGGGGCTGAACAGTGAAAAATGACCCAGCTTACCTCCAAAATATGCCAACAAACAGGTTTCTCCTCGGATTTTACCTACTTTCTTCCCAAAATCGAAGTAGCTATACCCAAGTTGGGATGTGGTCGGGTGGGACCTGAAGCGCCGCTTTCCGAATTGAATAGGAAACTGCACCATTTATCACTGGTGCCACAAACCCAAGGAGGTCAGGCCAATTCTCTTTAACTTTCAACATTTCATTGACCCAGATTAAAATTAGGTTAAACCAAAAGTGAAGATTAAAATTAGATCAAATTAATAGTCAATATTTAAATTAGATTAAATTAATAGTGAAGATTAATATTTGATTAAATTAATAGTGAAGATTAAAATCTGATCACCCAGGGCAGCAAGGATTATTGTAGGACAATGCGGAGGAGCAGGGAGACGAGCTTATGAGGCCCCCGGGCAGGGAGCGCGACAACGCCGGCCAGCCTTTCTGCTTTCACAAGACGAGCCGGTGTCGCGCGTCCCGGCCCCGCCTCGGACGAGCTGCGGCGCGGCCCGCCGCGCTGTCGCGGGTCCCGGTCTCGGGTCGGACGAGCTGCGGCGCGGCCCGCCGCGCTGTCGCGCGTCCCGGTCTCGGGTCGGACGAGCTGCGGCGCGGCCCGCCGCGCTGTCGCGGGTCCCGGTCCCGGGTCGGACGAGCTGCGGCGCGGCCCGCCGCGCTGTCGCGGGTCCCGGTCCCGGGTCGGACGAGCTGTGGCGCGGCCCGCCGCGCTGTCGCCAAGTCCAGCTCCGCTACATCTGTGTGACGTTGGAAGGGGCTCATAGAGGTTCTGTGTGGTCGGCTTGTGGTTGGCTCAGAAGCTAACAACCGGTGGTCTGAGGGTGAAGACGTACTCACGAGGCTTTGGATAGCGGGGATCTGCGATCTGTGCTACGATTTTGTAATTTAGATTTGGGCATATATTTTTTCTGATACGTTGACAGCTCAGATCAAAGGGTAATTGTGATGGGACAAGGCGTATGTTTTCCCCGAACTTGACTTCGCCGGGAGGTTTTGGGATGCGAACATTTTTCGAGTTGGAGAATGCATTAACAGTGGTATGGAGGTTTTGATGCTCTAGAAACTTTACGCGTTGATACCGTTTAGGAAAAAACACCAGTCTTGCATTGGAATATTGTACGGCTAACGCGAATCAATATACTGTTGCTCCGTTCTGAACGTTCTCGTCTGTTTCGGACAAGCCTCGCCAGGGCGTGGAATATGAATTCATGTGCTCGCTTTGATCCAACAAGCGCACCTTCCTGTGTGAAGCAGATTT